ATATATATGACTATCGATCTTTGAATTATTTTAAAACAAACCATTATTTTTGTTTGAGGGACCAAAGAAAATATATAAGCTTGTTAAACTTTTTTAGATTATTTTATTGCTTTAGAAAAAAGATTTTTATTCTCAATTATAAAAATAAAATTTAAAAATAAAGCTAATTATGGGACATTTTTTTTATTTAAACATTATTTTAATGGTTTAAATCAATAAATTTATAATTGAAATTTCTTATTTTAATCAGTTTGTTTAAATAATTACTACTAACAAAGTTTTCAAAAAAAAAACTTTTTTTTGATGAAAATCATAATTACAATATGCACACTAATAATTTTTTTCTTCTAACTCTATATTATAATTTTTATTAATACATATATATATATATACACACATTAATAAATGCAAAAACACTATCAAAATTTAAATGTATCACACATTTTATTTTTTTCGTCACACATTTTATTTTTTAAATTAATAATTACTTTAATTGATGTTGAAAAAAACAATATGAAAACCACGCTTTTTGCGTAATATGGGACAAAAATCAACATGGTAAAGACAGAAATCTCATTTTGGAAAAGGGGAAATCGAGCACTTTTCAAAAACACCTGATGAAAAAAGCACCTCTTAGGTCTTTAAAAAATGAAAAGCGAAAATAAGCATCTTTTAAGAATGCTACGCACCATGTACTACAATATATGATAAATAAACGAAAAAAAAACAAACTTTTTCACATTATAGATAACATCATAATATACAGGATACATATTTATAACAGCATAATATACAGCACTAAGGAGTGTAATGTCTTTAAAAGTACAATAGTCCTTTTTAAAAAGAATTTCAAATATCTGGGTGTGAGAAATATTTAGTGTTCTTAAAATGGAAGTTTGTTCCGGTGCTCAGTCAATCAAATCTAATAAAAAAAATTTTATATAGAAACAAAATTATTAATATAAAACTACTATCGGAAGTTGCTAAAAAATTAAATTTGTTAAGTAAAAGTAATTCCTTGTAATCGCATTTGGCGCTTGACTTTGCCAGGGCTCATGGACTTATAAATTCCATCTAACTAGTGCAGGATCATGAAGAATCGATAAAAACAACAATTAATATCTATTACAAATTAAAGGTTCAATGATAAAATTGAACAGTTTTACCCTGAAAAGTAATAACTTTTGAGTTAAATAAATTTAACATGGTGTTAATAAAAAAAGAAAAGAATTCAATTTCTGTATTATTACTTAAAACAATAAATTATAACTTAAAATGAGAACAAATTTATCTACAAATTATAACTCGAGATACGAACACATTCATCTACAAATTAAAAGAGAATTACAGAAAGAATCATAAAACTAAACATTGAATAAAGAAGTTTTTCTAAGGAAGCTATGCTTACATTTAAAAATGAATAAAAAATAAACTATATTGTTCTTACGATGGATAACCCGAAACATCTTCTTCAGCACAAATAGGAGTTTCTGCAGTGCAATCAACCTATAATTTTGCAAAAATAAATAATATATAATCCATTATGCAGTTATAAAAAAAGTATACACAGTGAAAAGTATGAAATATGCACAAGTGTGCTTCATACTTTCACAGTGCATTTCATACACAATGAAATTGCATAACTAAAATTCCATAAAAAAATCTTTGAAAAGACGAGAAATATTTTTAATAATCCTTCATTTGTTTTTACACTAAACTAGCGGTACTCTCTATGAAGCCTGCAATGTTCCAAGTCAATGTATAAGATCCAAATTGGATACAATATTGAAACAGATGTTTTCTGTTTACATTAACAGAAAATATCCATGTTTTTAATCTGAAGCATGCATTAGGTCTGCTTAAATGGTAACAAAATAAGAGTAATACAGTCAATTCGCTATAACTCGAAGTACGATAACTCGAATATTACTATAACTCGATTTTTTTATGACCTTCTCCTATATGTGGCT